TTTAATCGAAAATTCAAAAGGACGTTTGTCATGCCGTTAAGTGAAGTATATCCTGAAAAGTTTTTAAAAGACACAAAGAACCGATTGCTTGAAATAAACAACAACGGAAAAAACACCCAACAAAAAAAGCTAGATCCTGAACCCTAGGTGTTAACCAGGCGAATAAATGATCAATGAACACTTTGTCTAAATCTCCAAGTCTTCTCACAGCGAAGTTTTTTTATTAATAATAATTACTTTTCATTAAAGTGATGATCCGACCTTCATTTCTTCACTACTGCCTTTACTTTGCTATGTTCCGATACGTGTTCAAGAAGTCTAGCATTTGTTTTTTTGATGTTTCACGTATTACCACATAAGATCCTTAAAGAACTCTGCATACCTTCATTACTTGCTTCTTCACTAGCCTCTGCACAAATTTACATATTATCACTCGGTTTCCATCACTTCTAAACTCTCGTAGTCAAAATAACATTGTCAAAATAATTTGTTGAAAGTTTTATTCTGAGCTTGTCGTTCAAGAGCTGTGGAACCTTTTTACATGTTTCTTCGTCCGTTTCTGATACATTGTCCTGAGTACCATAGATCAGGACACTGTTACGTCTGTACTGCTCTAGATTGTTATAAGTAGATTTTAAAACTTTATTTCTATCAAGGACGGCACATGATTGTTCTTCAAGTAATTTATTGATTTTTTAGTTTTATATTTTCGACTCTAAAGTATCCGTTTTCACTTAAAAATCCGAAACTTTACTTCTGATTTCAAAGATCGTTTTCTCCAAATCTGTCACTTGATCTTTCAAAGCTTTTAGATCTCTATTTATATTATCAAACTTTTTTTTCATTTTATTTTCTATAGATGTTTTTAATTTCTCATTGAACATTGAAGTACTCCTTAGAAGCTAACATATCTAACCTTTCCTGTAATTTTTCAACATGCCAGCTAAGTCGATCGGAGCCCCAGTTTTAAGGTGCTTGTCGAGTGTTGACGCCTCCTCGTTTTTCTTTGATTCGTCGCTTTTAGGTATTTTTTGGTCTTTGCATTTAGACTGGCATCTACAGACGCGTCTGTTTCAGTACCCACATACTCCTCCGACTGTTTTGATCCTCCCTTTGACCTTGATCTCGTTACACTCTGCGTTATGTTTGTGTTCTGTTTCGACATCTTCAGAAAAAAAATTGACACTGTTTTTGTGTATACACTATGCTACAATAAACTAAGTATTTGTGTCTACCTGCCGTTACGCTTTATGAATTCGTGAAAATCGTGCAATAATCTCACATTTCTCCCCTATTGTTTATCGTTTAATACCAAATTTTCCCTTCTCCAACTCCAACTCAAAGCGCCAAAAATTTATACCATCATATTCCTCGTACAATTTAATTTAATCTCGATATAAATTTACTTTTAAATCCAATTTTAATTGATAAATTTATCTTTTGTTAGCTTGACTTTTCGCAGAATAATCGAGCTAATGTTACGTACGGTTTATTAGTTTTTTTTGCAATATATCTTATATCAGGACAAAAAAAGGATTAATCATATAACTTGTATTGTTCACGTTATTATATACTTTCCCGGTGATGTCCTCTTTATTAGCAACTCGAGAAATGAAATACATGCGGCGTAGGGTTGTGTTTCCGTTCAAAGGTTGCTTATATGTACCGTTACCCTGAGAGACTTGTGCTATTCTTTTTTACACCGAACCAACATTTTTCAACGCAATACATTATTTATCCGAGTGCAATGCTTCACTGATTATTGTCAAGGGAGGGAAATAGTCTAAGAGCATTTTGTTTTCCTAAGCCTATGTTGTGGTTTTCAGATACCTTGATTAATTTTCTAATTTAGATAATTCTTATTTTTATCAACTGGTGTCTGATATTTATCCTCATGAACTAAAACTTAATAAAACGAACTCTTAAAATTTACGTACATCATATTTGTATCTTCTTGTACTGTCAACAACTATTCTATTCACACATACATCTATGATAAAATAGATGACTTTGATTTCTGTATAGTTAATTATCCACATTTTGATGGAGACGTTACGGGGTTAGTTAATTAGATTGACTAAAGCTTGTAGCAACTTTAAGGATTTCAATGAGCGGAATATATTCGTTACTAGCAAGCTCCAGAGCAGGGCTACCGCTTTTATAAATTACAGAAATACTTTACAAACATTTTATAATCGTAATTTTAATTCAAAATTCAATAGTGATTTAAAATCACTTCTGCGACAAGTGATTAGCCAACCTGATTTTTTGGGATGTTATTCACAAACTTTGTAAGATCTTTGGTCATGGTAATTTTTCTGTTGTTTTTACAAAAATTATTAAACGCTTCATAAGAAAAAGGTTATGAATCTACTATTTTAAGACATACCGCATGCTTAGCGTTCAACCGTTTTACTGTTAGATCTGTAGATACAACGCTTTCCTTTTTTAATTACATTTGACGGACCAAGTGGGAGACTCCGTTCTTAATGCCATTTGGGACTTAAATGTCTAAATGTTAGTTTTCTGTCTTGCTTTGTCGGCCCTTGTAGGTGACTTTCTTCCTTTAAGACGTTATGTACTTTTGTTATTGTCATTCGGTTTACTTTTACATGTATCTACATGATCATTTCTGTGTTTTACTTATTTCACCTTTTGTAACCATACCAACTGTTAGAATTTTACTTTACAATGTCTCTAATGGGCTAAAAGTCACTCGTTTAATTGTATAGGTTTATTGATTAATCGTTTCTTTAACTTCATTGTCGGTTTTTATTGTTTCCGACTATTGTTGTTGTTGTAGTCACCCCATCAGTGCTTTGCCTGTGTCCTGTTTTTGTTTGGGTCCTGCTTGACTCCTGTTGGTGGTCCTGTGTTGCTGGGTCGTGTGGTGGTTGAGTTCATTGGACGCCACCCTTCCTTGTTGATATTGTGTTCCATATATTTTGTTTTAATTCAAACCTGAAACTACGAGCTTTAGATCCTCTTTATACCTTATACAAACTCTTGATATTGCATCATTTTAAACCCATCTCACACAGAATACTCGGCCACCCGTGTAAACCGTACCTAAAACCGAACAAACCGTGAGTTTAAACGAGTTACATTAGGGCCATTCGAGTGCATCCGTGCAAGCCGAGTATGATTAACAAAATCTGGTACGGATGTAATGCCCATGTTAGATCGTATAAACGACAGTACAATACCGTAAGAGACCGTGTGAGACGTATGAGACCGTATATGCAACCGTATTTGAAGTCCACCTCACGACTGAGCCCCACCGTGCCAAGATCGAATATAAATCGTATGGAATCGTTGGAGACCGTTCCTAAGTCCTTTATCCAATAAACGATTAACATCCGAATGTCACACGATCACGGTACGATTCACTCGAGTGCACATGCGGTTTCATACGATCGCCATACGACCAATACGGTTAAAGTACGAGTCATACATGGTAGACACGGTTTAGTACGTGTATACACGGTCTCATACGGCCTCGTACGGCCTCTACATCATTATGAATTGTACAACGAAAACCAAAACTTCCTGCTGCCACCCTAAATTGCTAGATCTACCGTGAGTGCTTGCTGCATCATACAAAAATGTATCCAAAGAAGAAGGTTCCTACGCACAGAAGGAATGCAAGAATGGTCTTTCAGGCCCGCTGACCACTTCAACCGTCTGACCCTGCCGAACCTGATGAGCAGGGGGACCTACCAATGTCTGTCAGTCTTATCATGATTTCTAATTCCCTTATCCTGTCATCTGTGGCATGTGGCATTGTTTTATATAACCAATATTCACATAATTATAAAGGTGTTCTTTTTTTGAAAGTTTGAAAATTTATGAAGCCAAACCATGAAAATGGGTCAATTTATATAAAAACATACACGAATATGTGATAAATCGAGCATAAAGCGAACAAAAGTTGGCGGGACCATATGTTAGTCCTGTGAAAGTCGGGTAAATCGAGGAAAATCGTGTTTAATCGTACTTGGCCATATAAGACCGTACTTGGAACCGTGCAACAATTGTATGTATTCGTATGCAAATTGTTTTCAAACCTTGCTTGACCTGGTTCGAGTGTATCGCGATCAGTTGAAGTCTCACGATGAACATTTTTGCCTAAAAAATTCAATTCATACTCTTTATTTGAAAATTTCTCCATAGACGAAGAAGTTGTGGCATTTACAAGTTTGGACGTCCGCACACACAATCACTGAAAAGCCATTTTGACAACTATGTCAAGCTCATGCGCAAAGATCTTATAGTCCTCTGACCACTAGGAATAACACTTCAAAACATAAGCAAGATACAGCGCCAAGAAACAAACATAGTTTAATATTTTATTTGACCTTTGACCTGTTGTGCCATAGACCTTCATTTTGCGGGAGACAACTCAACTCAACATGGAAAGCTTTTGTGCTGAGTTATATTTAAATCCATCCATGTATATAGACCTTGACCTTTGAACGGGGGAACTGGGTATTGCATGCAACTTGGTAACACTTGTACAAAATTATCATGTACAGACTGACGGACGTACGTACAGATGCACATACATCGGAAATACGCCAAATGTGACGACAAAATAGAGAAATACAGAATCCCTAAAGAAAGCCCAAAACGACAAAATTGATAATGTTGCAGGCTCGGTTCGATTGAGCCTGTTCATGGACGGTATTGGAAATTGCACATTAAATTAAATGAATAGTTAAAATGAAATAATTAGTTAAAGTGCAAGTCGAGCTCACCGCAAGCGGGCTCGACAATAAAATGATTATAATACAAATAACATTATTATACAACACGCATTGAAGTTGTTGAATGGGCAAATCTGTTAATAACAGTAATATTACAGTGATTAAATTTTATGTATCAAATACAAGCATAGAAGGTAGGTGAATAATGGTAACAGATGAAAACAACAGAAGAACAAATAAAGCCTAAATTCTTAACTTTATTTCATGATAAGATGCATTTTGATTCTTTTACAGTTTACATGCTTTGAAGCTCATATCGCTGTTCACAATTCTGATACTGATTGTTGTGATGATAGTTTCAATTGTGACTTGGTCCAGCACTGCAATGGGGACAAAAACTTTTAGCGATACATTTGTGCATCTTCTTAGTAAAGCTGCACACTTTTGGGCAAAATGCGTTTTGGTCTTAATTGCAGGTATGTTTTTCTTTTGTTCAGTTTTGTTACTTAGTTTCTTTTTCAAAACATTTTTTTTATTTGTTTTAAATTGCATGCAAAATGTATTTAATTTTATATTTTTATTTTTACCAGAAATGTTAAGCTTTGACGTTGTATTAAACATTGTGTTTTCTTTTTTTTTTCAGAAATTGTATTTGCCTGGTATTCGTTCCACCGGTTTGAGCTAGGACACAGCGAAATCATGTCTATCGTTCAAATTGTCCTATTTTTTATTTTGTTTTTTGTCGTTATTTGTATACTTATACTACAGAACCCTTTAACAATTTTTGTATTTTGGCTTTCATATTTCTTCAGTTTTGTTTTCTTTTACTTTTCATCATGCTACAGGTACGGCTTAAAACCGCCTTCTGTAGAGCAACTACCTATTTAAACAACAGTTAGTAAAAGAAAATATAATAGACAAGATCAACAAGGAAAGGCGGCGTTCAAAAGATCCTAACAAAAGATCTTACCTTTCCGGAACAACCAAAATACTTGTATCTAAATAGATATTGCACTATATAAGTGGTTCTGTATTATTCAAAATGTACAAAATTGATATTTCCTACTTTAATTCTATCTCAAAATTATAAAAGCTTGATTTTTTACTGCATTGCATATTAATTTTATATAAATATGTTTGTTTGTTGGTTTGTTCGTTTTTTAACTAAATATAGCAAAATGATCATTAACACCATATATCTAAATTAGGTTTTTGTATGTTAGAATTACCATAATAATGGATGTAAAATTGTTTTATGCCTTGACTAAAAGTAAACATAATATATATCAGTATGCAAACCATAATTCATTTAAAATAGTTTTGACTTATGATTAAATTAAGTTATATATTGCATGTAGATTAGGAAAATACAACATCAACAAAAAAAACAACAACAAAAAAATGCAAAACAGACATGTACTCGCATAATTTTGCAATTAAATGTAAAAGTTAATAGTAATTAAGTGATTAGCATTTCAGCATTTAAATTGACTTTCTTAAAAAATGCATGGTTTAGTCACTTAACTGTGACTTTTGTAAAAACTTGAAGAATTAAAATGATATGTTATGAGTTTCGGAGATATAGATATATTTTTTAACCAACCATCTTCTTAAAATCAAGTTAAAAAGAAAACGTATATCATAAATTTGTGGCAAAACGTAAATGACCATAAAAAGGTGATGCAAATGATAGTCAGTGAGGCCGTTGTTTAATCAGTATTGTAACTGTGTCCTAGCATATAAGCCAACTGATTTGAAATTTAAAAATCGTTGACTTGCGTCCACCTTTATTTAGCAACTTTTGTAATTAAGCAACGGCATAAAATCCCGCCCATGTAAGTTCATTCCATTTAACGACGGCTTTATATCGCGGCCAGCGTGAACTAAAAGTCGGCCCAAATATACGACATTAAGTGTTTAAGTATCTATTAAACGGCCGTTACAATTTCAATCGTTTCAAAATCGGATATAAATTGCTGAAAACAAAGAAATATTTTCCCCATTGTAATATTTACTTAGTCATATTTTGTCAGAGCAATAAACAACTTCAACACCGCATTTGTCATGTGCTAAGGGTGAACTTCCTTCCTGTAAGAAATAATCGAAACGAGCGAAAAAATGACGGACAGCTAAAAAGACCGAAGAAATCGAATGAGGAAATCGTATGTGGAATTGAGTCTGAGTAAAGAGCAAATGGCATCGTTTATAATCAAAACGAAACGTAAAAGGTAGAGGACTAATTATTTCTGAAAGGCTACTTCACTGTTTTTTATTAACTCAGCCTTTCCTTGTCGGTTTTGTAGATGCTCATCTAATGCTTTATAGAAATAATCTACCCATTGAACTAGATCTCTAAAAAACTAACTGAATTTGAAATCTGGTAGTAAAAAAATTTATTGCTAAAAAAATATAAAAAATATTTGGAGCTCTGGCTGACGACTTTTAAAGTATGCTAAGCAGGAGATGTGCATGGACATATTAACAATATAAGACACTATGCTCTGTTTCATGGTCACAATGACCTGCTTGATATTATTATATATACATCACATTTTCACACACATTTCTACGAAAAAAATACAAGAACAAACACATATTGATGACCTTTTTTTAGAAAGGCATAAATGTAATTATGAGACTGTAATACATGTTCATACATAATATTGTAGTTTTTGTTATTGTAAAGGATGATATCATATCTATGACTTGTAGTATAAAAAAGTTATCCCTTTATTTAGTATCGGATTTTCCAGAATTCTATTGAGAAACCAGTTTATTAAGAAAAACGTGATTGGTAAAACTCTAGGAAAAAAAAATTCCTATACTTGTTCATATTAAACACGAAATACATAAATTTTAAAAATGCTGAATGAGCAAAATTGTTCAAACCGATTTTTACATTAGTCATTTTGACCCCAGTGACCTGTTTCAACATAAAAAGTCAGAGGACCATTAAATGTATCCACTCGCCAAATAATATGAAATATATCATTGAATAAATTAAGTAATTAGGACAAATTCAAGATTTCTGTCTTGTGAATAGCACACCTGTTGTAACATGCTACACATAATTATGTGCAGTGTAATTTCAGAGTGGCCTGATGCATGGCTGAGTTTTGAGCCGACAATATTTTCTAACTGCTAAAAAAGCTACATAAATCAGAAGTGTAGCCCAAAACCTGCAAATGAAGCTTCCGTAAGTAAATCTGCATTGTAATAATCAGTTCAGTTTACAATTCAATTCAATCGGCTTCGCTTATTTCAATTGTATACCTAGATTATTTTATGGTTGCGAATTGTGGTCTTACCTTAAGCAAACTGACTATACACGACTTGATAGATTTATTAGACTTACAGCAAAATGATGCAAGTGTTCTCTGTGCGAATATGAACTGATATGTGTCTAAGGATGTTAGGCTGGGAAGTATTAATTATGAAATAGAGCTTATCAAAGTAGGTTTTTTGGACAATTATGTGAAATGCCAATCACAGTGTTAGGAAAACATGTGTTCAACGTGAGATTACCAATTTATTGATGTACCGCAGAAGAAAAATAGCATGAGTTTGTCCCAGATATTGTGAATTTTCTTAGGAAATATAAAAACTCAATGTACTTAATAAAGTATATAGAAAAGTTGTGTTTTCCGGCAAAAGAATCATGGAAAATTTTATGCAGGACAAAAAAATAATATTTTTGAAACATAAAAATAGACCCTTAGGCTGGTTAACGATGATGATTTTCATATATTTCGTTTTATACATACAAACATAGAGAGGTCTATTCTTTGGGAATGTTCTTATAACTCAACAAGCTTAGAACACGCTATTTAGATTAGCAAATTATTAATAAGCAAACGTAATAATACAAACATTTCAATGTGTCTTGATTGTGGAACACACTGATATGATGTCATCAAACATGATGTGGTAAATTGCAATAAAATGGACCATTTTTGAGAAGAATTGTTTAAAACTTTGTATAATTTATTTGGCAAATATATGTTATTTCACAAATATTATTAAGTGAAAGCGAAACTAAGTTTCAAAAACTGATAGGCAGACGCCTGTTATCATTACAAAACAGGAATGTTCATTTCTTTTTAGAATAGCAATGGAATATGTTTACTATTGTATTAAAATACACGAAGTATACAAATCTTGTAGATACGATGATTATGCTTTAACAGTTTTGTGTTAAATATGCGTGCAAGTTGTCATAATATTGCTTTTTAGAACGGAAATACGATACTGGCGTTACTGATAACTGTACAGGCATCTAAAGTATATAACAAGATAAAACATTGTATAATGAGAATGTAAATACTCATGCACTTAAATAATCTATGTCTTTTCGATAATTATGTTTGGTGTTTATGCTATTTTCACTTTATATTTTCAGGTTGCATTTGATCTGTACTTAACCAAATTGAATATGTTATGCATGTTATTACCACCAATATCTTCTATTTATGCACAATTGTATAATATGTATAGTTGTTTTTTTTTTCACTTGAAAACATTGTATTATAATTTAAATCACTTAAATGTGGGAATAAAGAGTATATTTGCAACAACAAATTTTATGTGCCCATAATATGTGCCTGTCACAGTGGCACATTTATATACTTAAAAGAATATTTCATAACAACCATGAACAGTATATATTGGTTTATACAGAATTTATTTTAGTTCGATTGTGTAGGAAGCTATAAGCTGTACAGTATATATTGATGAGATAAAACCGTATGTTGTAATAATAATGTTAGTACAATTATCATTGTTGCTAGCAAACAAATATATCTGCATTAACAAAATATAACTTTAAATAAATACCAGTACAGAATTTGTATTGACATATTAGTGTTGTTAAATAATAGCCATCCTTTCAGATCCGGGATTATAAAAAAGTATTAGAGTCAATAATGCATAGATTCCAACGTAAGTTTATCCCTGATATGATAAAATTCATTTACAGAGTTAAAGATCAATCATTGTGTTCAACAATTGAACATGTAAGGCTTCTAATAAAACGTTTTTACAGTGTTAAAATTTATATAGTTGAATAAAATATGATAAACAAGATCATCAAGGAAAGGCGGCGAACGCAGCCCCCACCCGACCCAGTAACAAGAGCGTGGCAAGGAGCCCAGGAGGACCCCAAACAAAATCAGGGAAGGGCATAATGCAGAGTACGGGCTAAACCACTACCTAAAAATAAATAATTAGAGACTGATAAGGAACCAAAATACAACAAATAAATGATTGAATATAATGCTTATAAAGTCAAAAGGCACAGGGGAAGGGTACATGAGACCCGGGGAAGGGGGGGGGGATAAATAAAAACTAGGGGCAAAGGGGAAGATACTTACCGTAGACGAGAAAACAACAAGAGACACAAAAGTGTCAACGAAACAGTATAAAACAACATAGACAAACATCTGAGTAACACAGAGGGACGCCGCCTTCAAACGGTCAGCAGCAGAAATACTGCTGAGGTGTTTAAACCGGTTAATGGTGCACCAAACCTCACTCTTAGCCCCACCATGTTCCTAAAAACGAGACAGTGTAAACAAAATGAATCCCCGCCAAGTGAAATTTTAACAGTTGTCATGGTTACAAAATGGTTACAAAAGGTGAAAGTAAAACATCGAAATGCTCATGTAGAAACATACAAAAGAAAACCCACTGACCATAACAAAAGTACTCAATGTCTTAAAGGAAGACAGAGCAACAAGAAAATCACCTACAAGGGCCCGACGAAGCAAGACAGAAGACGAACATTAAGGCAATACAGTCCCAGGGCTTTAAGAAGTCTCCCACTTGGTCGATCAGATGTAACCAAAAGAGGAAAGCGTAGCGTCTAACTGTAAATGGGTTGTAAGTTAATAATTTTAACGGCCTTATACCTAAGTTATACAAATAAATCAAATAAACACTAACCTTTGTATGAAAGGTTAAGATAACATTTTTATTGGCTAATAAATAAGTAACATTTTGGTCATTCGGCATCATTGATGCCAGCACTATAAAGTGTTGAGTATTGCTTAAGCCAGTGCTAGGGGCACTAAGGGATAAACTTATTAAAGCTTGAAAGTCGTCGTATGATTGTTAAAGTGTTATTGCAAATTAAAACACAAGCAAGATAG